CTAGCACAGATTTGAGCCCCGGATGTTTATCAACCCTTAATCAATGTTCTGATCTTAATTATCGACTTCCAGTTTCAAATCGCAAGTGTATGGAAAGAGAAAAACCCAAGTGTATGGTAAGAACCAAATGGATTTCGTCTTTAACTTGGATCCGGACACTTTAAAATCAAATGCCCACATCTAAAATTTAGATTTTAATGATTTCGCTATTTCTTTATCCCTTTTCCATTTTTTCTTCCAAAAAAGTTCAATCAGAGGGTAACAGCCACTTAATCTTGGAGTTGTTTTGCATTTTCAGGATTTAATAAACTAAGAGGTGCAAGTTTCCTGGTGAGTCCGACATATAATCTTGTTTTGAGGAGGTTCTTTGAGGTTGACTTGACTTCTATTACTACATAACTTTGTTGCTTCTAAGCGTTAATCTTAGGATTTGTAAACAAAATTTCGTTATTGTACTCACGAAAGGCTCTTATTCCTCAAATTTTAGCTAACAGAGATGAGTTTGAAGGTAGTAGCATAGTCAAATTCATGGAATGAACTTACATAAGAAGAAATTGTCAAATTTTAGGATTTTTCCCCCTATTAACTGTAAGACTTCTTTTCACTTTTCAGTTAATTTGTTTCTTTGATTTAAGATTTCTAATTAACTAATATTAATTCCACTATTTTAAAATTCTCTGTCATTCTATAATCAGAGCCAAAGATATGTTCTGGGTACCTTTTTCATAAATTAATAATCAAATTGATTATCTGATATAGAATAATTGTAAAAGTAGTTTAGTTTACCTTAGATTAGATCTTATTCTACACCATAATTCATATTAATTAACATCAAAAGCTGGAACTTGTTTGAATTGTAAAGCAGCTTCGTTTTATTATAATAAGTTTTTTGATTTATCATGGAATTCAGAGATGTATATATGCGCCAATAAGTGAAGTTGACACCATTGCGGGCAAATTATTGGAAGAACGACTTGATGAAAACAACTATGCAATCTCAGTAGCATATGTTAGAAACTAGTCATCATCGCTTAAAAATTTCTAGTGAATGAAATGAAAATTGGTTCGTAGAGTCGACTTCAAATTATTGAGAACAAAATTTGGTCGTTAATCATGCACCAAATTAGTAAAAAACTATTTTCTTGGAAATTTGGTTTATCAGCACTAGTACAAGCAGACTGCCTACCACCAAGATCTTCAATGCCCACAAAATCTTGAATCCCAAATCAGGATAGGGCAAAAGATTTGAGATCTAACATATTTCTGTGGGGGTGGGGGTAGGGGGGACCTTCAAATTTTAATCCACAAAATGGGATTTATGGTGTCTACCCTTCTCTTCCAACTCTTATTCATACTTTATTTTGAAAAGTTTTTTTGCTCGTGTGTCTCTGATTAGCATGGAAATCACCATCCAAACAGCTCTGAAAAAAGGGCTTGTCGAGGATAATACAAACCCAAGTCCAATTCAACTACAGAACTGATTTTGAAAGATTGATTTCTTGGCTCTAGAATTTGTGTTTATTCCCTTTCACAATATATATTGTTTGGATCCTATTGTCCCCTCTGCTACAATTGTAAAATGTTACACTGTCATTACGTTCCCTTCTATCTAGAGTGAACCAAGTCAAGAGCGTGTGGCCGAGTTGGCAAAAAGGCATGGCCTGGGAAACTGGGTTGGCTTCGACGAGGGTTCAACCCAAAGTTACATGATACACTTTTCTAAAGTCAAAAGGGTACAAGAAACTTCATTATCGAACTTTAGATTTTTTCTACCGGCTACGGAAAGTAACCCCTCACAATTAAAAATCAAATTTTATGGTGATTATTGAAGTAAAGTCTGAGTGAGATTTGTTAATCCAATAAAGAGGAAATTGCCAAATAATCCCTTCAAATAGAAGGTATAAAAATATCTGAAGTCAAATTAATTCATTAGAAAATAGAGAGTCCTATTCTGAATCTTCCACCAGCAATGTCTTTATCGATTGTGCCCCATCATGTTTACTCTGTACAACTCTGAATGGACTTCATTAGTTGCTCAAAATTAATTGACGCCCACATATAAATGTACCACGCCAATGTCCAGTGGCAATCATCTCATCTGTTACTCCCTCATACCACAATCCTTCCTTGAATTATGCTAATATATATGCTCATGTTTGACATAAATTAAAATCTAAATTTTTATCAAAGTCAAAATCAAAGTCAACAAATAATTTTAACCACATATTTTACGGGATCCACAATTTTTCAACATCACATTTCATGGGATTCCAACTTGAAAAATCAACGTTATTAAAATAGTTGCACATATTTATCATTTATTGATTATTATTTTCATTTAAGCCACCTTAAAATGGTGCTAAATTCATATATATTCGATCCGACCAAATTTAATCTAATAGCAAGATTGCATCTGGAGTACTTAATCATAAATTACAGAAATTAGTTTATGTATGGGCCTGAACGAAATTTGATATTAGAATAAGCACATTTTGAATGCTTGCTCGTTGTTTACATGCCAAAAGATATATGGCAAATGGGAGGGGTTTTAAAAAGTCAAAAACTACTTTTATAATTAAGTGGCTACTTTTGAATATGTTTGGATAATTTTTTGAAAATATTTTATCGATTGGTATAATGTAGCTTTCTCGGGAATATCTTTCAAAAGAAATAGATTTTTTTTAGACTGACTCTTATAATTACAATTGAATCTATTGCTTAACAAACTAGTAACTCCAAACAATTTAAGTTGGTATTGAACTATCAACTAGACCATTAAACATATGTCTCTGTCACACGCGTAGAATGCTTTGTCTGATATATACCCTCATAACGAGTATAAAAGTGACGTCTGGTTGGAGACTTTCTTTGTATAATTCTAAGGACCAAATTATATAACATAATGTTGTCTGAGGTCCCAGTGGATAATGCACTCAAAGGGCCTCAGATATTTAACTTAAGTTGAAGACCCAATATAAATCACAAAAAATAAATAAATAAAAAAATAAATAAAATAAAATTCATGGACCCCTCCAACAAACGGTCCTTCACTTTCAGTAGGCCTAGATTACACGAGAACCCTGTTTTGACCTTCAATTAGTTCCCAACAGAATGTTGGTCTGTATGCACTTGTGTTGAATTCTTGTTGCTTTCAGTTGATATATCATAAGGTGTCAAATCTTGATAGTTTAAACTTTTTCTTATTCGAGTTTCTTCTTTTTGTTTTTGTGCAAATGCTTTGAGGAGAAAGAACAAACCAAGCTAGAGGTTCATTTAGAGTCTACGTGCAACATGGCATAGAAGGAAGAAAGTAGCATGTACTTCAATTAGAGATGTTAAAAAGGGTCTAGTTGTCCCTTAGAATTAGACATGTCAAAATAAGTTGGATCCTCACCTAGTCGCATATCCTTTAAAATTTAGAAATGTTGAAAAAAGTTTTGACGCAATTCAAGCTCAGCCCAACTCAAGACGTATTGTATCGAGTAAGTTAGGCTATCTAAAACGACGGGTAATGTTAGACCTATCTCTTTAGACTTAAAAACCATTTTTTATTATCATTTGTTCTAATTTTAAAGAGATTGTTGAACTTGGTGACTGTCCATCCAAACTTGGACAACATGGGTTGTGTTGATACTTGTATATCCACCAAAATTTGTAAAAGTATCTAGTTTCTAAATTGACTCCAAATATGATAAAAGCACATAGAAGTCTAACTTTACAATTTTTCACAAATCTCATTTTAATTTGACGTTACAAACTCATATGGGTATAAATCAACCTTATCTCACATTGACACAAATATTTTCTTCAATCTGCAATGCATATCATTGATATTTTGCAAAAATCGGTAAATCAGACAGCTCTTAACATCTCAAAAATTTACACTTAACATGATACTTTATACATAAAATATTGATTCGCTACACAGGTGTAGGGTTATTGTCGTTAATTTTACTAAAAGCAAAATTATTTTATAATCAGCATATTAAAATGCTATGTACATTTAGGACTCTTTAGATAATGTTTAATAAGCTAAAGTAAAAGAGATAGATCTGATCACTCACGAGAGCCACAATATTCAGAATCAACCTGTGTTGCGCATGAGAACCAAACTGCCTTAATCTAGTAGAAAAAATTAATAGACACAATTGGTGATGTTTTACAAATATTAAAAAACACAAGAATGAACACTTTTTCTTAGTGGTGGAAGAAATAAGAGATACGAATTTAATAATACAATTGCAATTCTTTCATTCTTTATAGTGGAACTCTGCACAAGCCAGTAAATAATAAAAATGGTACCGTATAGATATTGGAGAAATAAATGAATTTGACATTGTATTTGTTATACACGGAATTTCTGGACAAACGGTTCCTTAAATATATCAACCCACGGAAAAGATGATGGACAAGAGTGCCTCGTAACATATGCCAATTGGTTTATTGGTTCCCCAATGTTAAATATACGTGCATGAAATGCTCGATATACCCTCGTGACTCTCTACGTGTTCTTACGATTTTGACCTCGTCGATTATCATTCAAATTATATTTCATTACATTTTATTTTTCTCTCTTCTATTTTCAACCATACAATCTTTCAAAAAATAATATTACACGTAAATCGAAAACTTTTATATATATATATATATATTTCCACCCATTTTCAATACCAAGAAATGGGGGCCAAAAGGGGGCTAATTAGTAAAAAAATCTCAAAAACTTGCCTTAGTTGATGTTTGAAAATTAATTTTTAGGGAAATTTCTTCTTCTTCATTGAATTTTTTGAGAAATTCACGGCAGATCAACTTCCACTATATACTTTTATAAATTTAATTAAATGAATTTAAAAGATGACCTTTCAAAAATCACGTTAAATTGACCTCGAAAGACTCATCGAGTGAAACAATAATCCATTAGTTGAATCAAGTAATTCGATGGCTTAAATTAGCTGAAAGTCGTGTTTGAATTTTATAAGACCTCCACTTTCTTCAATTTTCACCAACCCCTTCCCTCCCCTACCCTACCCTCCCTTAAATTCATAGTGCTCTCCACTCTCTCATTTTCATACTTCATTCCGTCCTCAAGACTTAAAATAAGGAAATCTTGAACAGGCACATTGGCAGTGGCACGGAAGAGAATAATTGCGAATTCTAATAACCATTTTCTTCTTCCACTGTTTTTCTACCTCCAAATTCAGTAATCCTCCCTGCTCAAAACAAGATTTAGTTCAATAAACAAACACTAATTAATTCATCTTACACAATACTAGGAAACCGGGACATTTTGGAAAATGGGTGTTTGGGGCCACGTACTGGCAGCGGCCCTGCTAACGTTCTGCGCCGCCCTGCCGTTCTCCGCAGCGGATCCGAACGACGAGAGGTGTCTGGCTCATCTGAGCGACTCTTTACAAGACCCACTCAAGAATTTGCAGAACTGGACTAAGGTCACCTTCACTAACCCTTGCCAGGGATTCACCTCCTACCTGCAGGGTGCTACCTGCAACAATGGCCGCATCTACAAGTTATCACTCTCCAATATGGCCCTTAAGGGCACAATCTCGCCTTATCTGTCGAATTGCACAAATTTGCAGGCTCTGGACCTCTCGTCCAACGCATTGACCGGTCCTATTCCGCCAGAGCTTCAGTATTTGGTCAATTTGGCGGTTCTAAATCTCTCATCAAACCATCTATCTGGCCCAATCCCCCAGCAATTGGCGCTCTGTGCGTATCTCAATGTAATCGATTTACACGATAACCAGCTGTCGGGCACCATTCCCCAGCAGCTCGGCCTACTTGTGCGACTTTCAGTTTTCGACGTTTCCAATAATAAACTTTCAGGGCCTATTCCGACAACGCTGGGGAACCGGAGCGGGAACTTGCCGCGGTTCAATACAAGTTCCTATGAAGGGAATAAGGATCTTTATGGATACCCATTGCCGCCGATGAAGAGTAAAGGGCTATCGATTCTGGCCATTGTGGGGATCGGATTGGGTAGTGGGTTCTTGAGCTTGGTCCTCAGTTTCACTGCTGTTTGTGTATGGTTGAGAGTTACTGAGCAGAAAGTGGAGAATGAAGAAGGGAAAATCAGTCAACTCATGCCTGATTATTGAGATTGCTGCAGTTACAATCAAATTAGAGATAAATTTTACAGGTATGTATGAAGGAAGTATGGGTATTTTTCCCCTTTCTTTTTCTGGTAATTTTTTTCTTGAAAAAATTGCTGCCTTCCAAGCATCTTCTCCAATTCTTTTTCCTTTTTGTTTATGATTTTTTCTTTCTTGTATTCCTATTTAGCATTTTTCTTCAGAATTAGTAATGTGTAAAGAACAATTATGAGTTTCTATTAATATACTGCTCAGCATATATCAAAATTCCATATCAAAAGGTACTTGAGCAGAAATTGACATGCATTAATGGACAAGCATTAGCATATTTATGGTGGCATTATGCATTCGTGAGCTTATGGAAGATGACTATACAGCACGATAACATTATAATATAAGATTTTGAGGCTCATATAATTATGGAAATATTCAATGAACAGTTCTGTTTATGGATAAGCACTGCATATTTTTTAGTAGTAGACGGCTACATTTAGAGAGTCCAAGTTTATTAGGATTTTTGAAGAAGGAAGTTGGTGGAAAAAGGTGGAAAACTCCCATTTCATCCGTTGGGATTCTTCAGTAAAATTAAAATCATATCTTGATCAATTTTCTAATTCATATCACTCTCATCGTCTCAATCGAAAATCCTACTCCATTATTTTTTATTAGTATGTGGACTAGTCGAGTTTTAATCGAAAATTCACATCTTTTCAACAGAACTGCGTAAAATAAAAAGTAAAAATAAAAAAAAAATTCTGGGTTTTGTGTGGGGTGGGGTGGGGTGGGGTGGGGGATGTGTAGGGTAGGTTATATTTTACCCCAAGGTGAAAATAGGAATCATCCAACAGGAATTATGTTATGTAATGTGGTCCATGATTGGCGTTGATGGGTTACATTATAGTGGTCTCTTGCCTACTAGACCTTATGATGTTTTCAGGGTCCAAGAAATTTTTTTCCTCACTTTCTTTCTACCATTATTTAGGAATTAATAATCATTTATGTTAATTGGATTTTGACATTTCGTTTTAAATCTTCGACTTGAAAACTACTCAAACGTCTAACAACGTCGTCGTCTGAATCCAAGACAACTTGGAAGAATGAGGAAGACTTGTGGAGAGTTAAGAGCGGACTTAATTAAACGAAATAGGTTGAAACTTTGAAAATTGAAATGATCAAATGCCAAAAGAATGATGGAAGTGTGGATTTTGATACTCCATGGGCGCAAATTTTCTTGATTAATACTCAAAGGTTATCACCGAAAGTGGTGAATATGGTCAAACCTTGCTTTAAATTCCTTTGATAAAGGTTTCTCCGAGAATGGCCTGTGGCTGTATGTCATCATTAATGGGCCCTTTACATGCATGTTTTGTTCTTTAGATACAGAGCAGGACTCAATCATGTTCCAAGTGATTTCATTTACTCCCCATAAATTTAGAAATTTTAAAAATTAAATACTCCATCAGTCCCCTCTTGCCTTTGTGGTCCTCAAAAATATATGTTGTATAATTTATTTAATTTTATAGGCAATAATACTTTTTCCGAAATCTGAATTAAATTTTAGGCCATGTTGGATAGGCTTATATTTTCCATGAAAAATGGAATTTCCATCTTTTCTGTGTTTGATGGCACAAATTTGGCATCGAATTCCTTTTCCATCTTTTGTTGCCACATAAACAATTTCAGTTCTCACCGAAATGGTGGGAATTGAAATTCCACCTTTTGACGTATTTTTTTTGTTTTTATTTTGCAATTGATACAAATTGTAAGAATTATTGCAATAAATTTCATCTTTTCAATTGACAATTTTCATGTAAAACAAAATCAAACGAACATCAAAAGACAAATGATTTTCTTTAATTTTATTATTATTATTTTTTATTTTTTTGCAATGGAAACAAATTTCATTTCCCAATACCAGTAAAATCTATCCCTTTAATTGACAATTTTCATATAAAACAAAGTCATACGAATCCCAAAAGACACTTTTATTTCAACATTTTTCACGTGAAAAATTATACTAATCAAATACCATAATTTACAATTCCTAAGAAAACAATTTTTAAGCAATTAAATTTCTTGAAATTCGTTTTCAATTCAATTCAATTCCATCTTTACAATCAAACGGAATCTTATAGTTTTCTTTCTCTATTCTGTGCAAACAAATCACCCCAGCACTTCAAATTTGTAATGTTTGAAATTTGACTAATTATGGAGCCCCTTATCTTGACCCAAAATTTGATGACAATCGATAGTGGGTACTGTTGGATAGAAACTGGGGGTAATTAGACAAACACAGTACAATGTCTACTGTCTTCATCTCTTATGGTTGCAAATGACAAAAAAGCAAACTACTAAATAGATTTTAAAGATGATTGAAATTGTCGTCCAATAAAATACGCATACGATAAACCTCTGGGACGATATTTAATGTATTGGATAAGAATTAAGAGCCGTTTGATTTACGTTTCAGTTACCAATTTTGAATTTTTGGATTCATTTTTTATTTTCTATTTTGAGGGTCTATTTTAAGATTGCTAAAAATGTATTTAATTTGTCATTTGAAAATTTATTTCTCAAAACAAAAAACTCGAAAAAATGTTTGGTTTGTAATTTTGAAAAGTATTTTATAACATTTTATTCCATACATTTTGATTATTCAATAAAAATAGAATAATTTTAAGGTAACATACTATCAAATAATATTTACACTCTTGTAATAATATTTTTTTGCTACAAACGTAAAATAAAAATAAATAGAAAACTGAGTCCAAAATATAGGGAAAAAATAAAAATTAATGATGTCAATTAAAAATATTTTTATTCGTGTTTATTTTAATATATTTTTAAAATTTTTATGTAAATAATTATAGTTAGGAACTTGAACAATTTTTAATTAATTTTTTTTATTTTTGAAATTATGTTTTTTGTCTTTTTAGAATTTATCAATTTTTTGAATTTATTTTTCTTGAATTTTATTATTTTCTAAAATTTTATTACTTACAATTTGATATTTTTATTTTTTAATAATTATCATTTTAAAAATTTATATAAACGCTTATTTTTTCATATTTTTGAGTGTCTTCATAATTTTAACTGAAACCACTCAAAACAAAACAAAAAAATGCATTTTGAATTTTATATTATAAATTTATCCTTGTTTTGAAAAATGGAGGTTTTGTATTTGAGGGATATGCTTGGTTAGTTTTAATTAAATGTCAAAAACAAAATAAATTGAGGGTTTTTTTTCTTTTTTTTTTTTTGGTTTAACCACAGCTAATTTTAAGGTGTGATTATGAAAATAATATTTAACCGTTACTTTTATTTTTTGTTAGGTTAGATTTTATTAGGGTTCTATATGAGAAAGTGAATGATGTCTCACATTTTAATGAAAAGGTCATCGAGCTTGTAATTTGATCACTTCTTAATCACATACCATGTAACTTGATCACTTTTTAATCACACACCGTGTAATTTGATATTTTTTTTCTAAAAATAATTGTTTTTGTTTCTCTCGATCATCGAGCTTGTCGACAATCTCTCACTATGTTTCATTCGTTCATGCGTTCTGTTGCTTGAATAAAGACATCGTATCTGCCCAACTTTCCTAAATTCCCATCATAGGCTTAGATGAGAATGAAGCTGCAACGAAAAAGGTAGAGCAATCTGCAGCCAAGACTTCATATGCTCCGACGTGCCAAATTATTCACCTCGAATTGCATGACTAATCACATTAGTCGTATGATTCAAACATTATCTTAGCCACAAAATGATTTTGTTTAAAGGTTAAATATCAATCTTGAGGGCCCCCACCGCCCCGTCTCTAGAGCATCGTGAGGGAGGTAAATTGCGAGATGTGCCCCCAACAAGTCAGGGAAGAAGAACTTGTATGTACATTAGTACCCACAAAGAGTCTAATTTCATATCTTAGGAATCAAATCCTCACACTGCGGCTCCAGTAAGGCTGAAATTCCTTTGCACCACTGGATTATGTCCCGGGAGCACAAAATGATTTTGTTTTCTTAGGCAAAGAGATGTTCAGGTTCAGTACATTTTTCTCAGTAGTAAGTTCCAATATGTATTCTCCAAATTTCTAAGGGGACATAACTCTAATCGTCTAATCGTTATCCTTTTAAAGCTATAAACAGACACATGTATCACCAAAAATCCCCGCAGGAACACTGCCCATTTTTGAAGTAGTGAAATCTGTGGCAATCTCTTACTGTAATGTCCCTTCCAGTTATAGCAGATACGAGTTTAATTGCATTATGACAGTCTCCACATATTCTCAAGTTTTTCATGACAACTATAGGGTCGGTGTCTTTAGTCGATAATAGCCCAAATGCAACTGCCAGCTTCTCACTATGATGCAGCAATATCGTCTCTTTTTCTTCTTCCGTTAAGCTATCATCTCTGACTGAGACCCATCTGATATCTGGAACGTATCCTGCATGTTTAATTTTCTTTGACATCTTCTCCCAAAACTCGTAAATTTTCCGTGTCATTGGGTGAGAAAAATCTTCTGCTACAAAAACATGTATCCTCTTGTCAACTTCTATCCAACTGCAACCCGGTCTCCTCTTCACTCTCTTATCTCTCATCAACTTTTTGATTTTTGCCACTTCTTCCCATCTCCTGGCACTAACGTACATATGTGCAAGCATAACATATGGCACAGCATTTGAAGGGTCGAGCTGAAGACACTGGTTGGCTGCCTTTTCAGCTAGGTCTATGTTACCATGTGTTCTACATGCCCTAAGCAATGAACCCCAAACAATGATGCCAGGACTATATGGCATCGACTCAATAAGAATCTCTGCTTCCCTGAATTTCCCTGCTCGACCCAAAAGATCGACCATGCATGAATAGTGTTCTGCCTCTGGTTTTATAAGAAATTTTCCAGTCATCAAATTGAAATATTTCTGCCCTTCCTCAACTCTTCCAGTATGTGCACAAGCAGAAAGAACAGAGATGAAAGTTATACCGGTGGGAGCCATATTCTTCTCAAGCATCTGTTCGAAAAGTCTCAAAGATTCGATTCCAAGCCCATGCTGTGCATAGCCTGCAATCATAGAATTTAAAGAGACACTATTATGCTCTGGCATCCAATTAAATAGCCTCCTCGCATCTTGCAAATTACCACATTTGGAGTACATTGCAACCAGAGAATTATTTACAGCTATTCTGTTGGATGGGATATCTGATTTTATTGCCAGAGAGTGTATCTGCTGCCCTTGTGAACGCAATGCCAAATTAGAAGATGCACTTATCACGCAAACAAAGCTGCAGTCATCAGGAAAGTGACCAGCATGTTGCAACTGCTTGAAGTAAATAAGAGCCTCTTCAGACAACTCATCATTCTTCGAATAGCCAGAAATCATCGTGTTCCAAAGAACCAAATCAGGCAAAAGTATTTCCTGAAACACCTTCTCAGATTCCAACATTGAAGTAGTGCATTTCGAGTAAAAGTCAATCAAACCACTTCCAACATGAGCATTGCGATGAAACCCCATTTTGATCAACTGGGCATGAAATTGCATCCCACCAAGAAAATCTTCGATGCTTGTAAATGCAGTCAATGCACTCGCCAAAGTAAACATGTCCACATATAACTCCAGATGCAGCATTTTTTGATACAATGCCAGCGCCTTCAAACCTTCCCTTTGCTGAACGTAAGCCACTATCATCGAATTCCATGAGACCTCATCTTTATTCCCGCACATTCCACTAAACACCTTCTCAGCCTCACTGAAAAACCCATTCTTACTGTACCCAGATATCAAAGCATTATTAACCGAAGCATAACTATCAAACCCTCCCGAAATAGCCAAACAATGCAACTGTTTCACCAGTTTAACCTGATCACAACAAGCACTAATAACCGCAGAAAAAGTGAATCCATCCATATCTAAACCCACACTCCTCACTCCAGAAAGAAGTTCGAGCGAGGACCTTATGTCACCACGGTCAGCATAAGCATAAATAAGAGTATTATACGACACAATGTCCGGTTGGGGAATTCTGTCGAACAGCTGATGAGCAATGTGAGGTTGTGATTCTTTCGCATAGGCAGCTATAATGGCGTTAAAGGAGAAGACATTGGGATAAAGTATGAGATCAAATGCATTACGAGCAGCGGAGAGACGGCTGCATTTGGAGTAAAGGAGGATGAAATGGTTGGAAATATATGTGGATTCTGGAATGAGGGACTTGACGTAACAGGCGTGTAAAGATTTGCCTTTTATGAGGTCCCTTTGGTCTATGCAAGTTTTCAAAATTTGGCGGAAAGCTTGAAGGCTCCATGAGATTTGGGTCATCTAAGGTGCAACTGATGAACATGGCATAACATTGGCCTTGGATTTTGATTTACGCATCACAAAATGTACAGGGAAATGTGAGTGTTATGGGCTATATTTTATCGTCAACCCAATATGATGGATTGGGAATTACATGCGGCTAAAAATCAAATTTTTAGTAAATTAAGATAAAAGTGAAGTAAATTTGTAAATGAAAAATTAATAAAAATTGTAAATTTAAAATTAATTGTTAACTTCGACTTAAATTTTTATCAATTTTTAAGCTATTCCAACCAGAAATAATTAGACTCAAGAATTCTCAAACCCCCGAGTTGCGGACCTTCATTCTTAAAGAGAAAATTGTACAACAAAATTAGATGCTTACGACACTGGATATTTACGAGAAGTTATTAACAAGTGGACGGATTCAATTGGATGCAAATAAAGTTGGGGAGAATATTCACTTCTAGACAAAATTAATAATGTGATGTTTGCTTGTAAGCTATTTATGAACTAATTGAAAGCAAATCTTATTGGTGTAATCCATCAACCTGTTTTAAGGTCAATCGAACAGGACAAGTGGCTATGATGCCTATGGATTATTTACTTGGTATTGCACTAAATATAGGAGCAATTTACTGTGAAGGAGAGGGAAAAAGGGAGATGTGTGGCTCCAATTTTACTATGTGGATCCTTGATTTCTGCAAGGATAATTCATCTTCTTCATCACCAATATCAGATTTGTCTCTGTAAAAACATGCTTATATTTGATTCCTGTGAATGATTTAATTTCAACAAAACCTCCATCTAATCCTGCTGAGTTATCCTTCTCAGTTGGCAGGGAAAGAGACCGATCCAGTCCTAAGATTCCTTCCAGCCTTATCTCCTTGGAATTTCTTGATGGTAATCTACGTTACGCAACAGCAATTTACTCTTCAATATCTTTCTTGAATTTTTGTATGATTTCGTGTCATACGCTGCTATATTTGTCATTCTTCTGAATCAAATTGCTCCAAGTAACCAAACTGTAATCACCAATCACGGTATAGATATCACTCCTGTTTAATGCTGCATATAGCTTTTGTAATTGAATTGGTTGAGAATTTTGTACGCATGTATTGGTTGAAATACTCAAGTTGCCCTCATTTTTCTGGATTAATTTCCAAAATCCCAATGATTTTTTGCGTGAGAATTCTACATGACATACATTTAGTGACTGTTTGGTCCCCCTTTAAAATTTTAAATTGTTTGCTACGATATCAGTCTCCATCACATATTCACATGATAAAATATTTTACAAACAAATCAATAATTTTTTTTTTAACCACACATTCTTAAAAAAATACTATTCATAACTCTTTAATTTCCCAAATAATGGGTATTATATCACAACATTGATGGTAATCTATTATCTACTCGATTAAAAAAGTTATCTTTTAGATAAGCCCGTGATCCTACTTTTAAAACGCTTTATTGGACTTCAATTTGTAAAACTAGATTATGCCTGAATTTTCTATGGCCTAGTTCTAAGTATCTACTCATTTCTTCTGCATCAGTGTAAAATTTTCTGGGGTGGCATATTATGTACGTTATGTCGCGAAGGCCATCGACATCAACTCAGCGTGGTATTGGTACCGGCAGCTTGGGGGGAACTTTTCATCCAAAATCGAGTTCCCGTCCTTTATTATCCAAAACCCTGATGTTTTTGGTAATTGCAACATTAATTTTTTGTTTCCTTTTCAGTTGTTTTCACACCATCCATCATTTTATATTCATTTTGATATACATGGTTTTTTTTCCCTTGATTAAAGTTATACATGATTTATTGCCTTTTCAAATGCTGAAATGTTTCTGTTCTACAACTTTCAGGGCTTGATCCTCATTATTGGGTATACTTTTCGTGGCTCAGGTATGTTTCTTATTGTTAGGACTCATTATATGGTGTACTTCATGCCAAACATGCACCAAGTGTTTCATTATTACTCATCAACTGATCCATTATCTTTCTCAATGTAGGTGAAACCCCGGTCAAGGAACCGCTTGCTAGAATTGAAGGTAAACTTCTATATTTGATATTTTTCAATATTTGCATCAAATTTAAAGCAGGCAGTGGAAAGTGCCACCACTGGATGGACATCATAATTTGAACCTAGTAGTCCTACTTATCTGTGGTACCATAGAAACAGAGCCAAACCTGAGCACTATTATAAAATTTGTAGGTGATTTCACATGCACATCAGAAGTTCAGAGGGTAATGCCATATTTAAAGACAGCATATGGTGACAGTATTCACAAAGTTTTGCATGTTGGACCCGATACCTGTTCAGTCGTCTCAAAATTGTTAAAAGAAGAAGAAACCGAAGCATGGGGTGTTGAACCGTATGATACAGAGGATGTTGATAGGAATTGTAAAAGTCTAGTGCACAAGGGCATAGTGCGCGTTTCTGATATTAAGTTCCCTCTACCATACAGGGCTAAATCATTCTCCCTAGTTGTCATTTCTGATGCTGTAGATTATCTGTCTCCAAAGTACCTGAATAAGACTATTCCTGATTTAGCAAGAGTGTCGAGTACTGGTCTTGTTATTTTTACAGGTAATATTCTAAAACTTAGATATATCACATAATCTTTTGATTAAACAATACACTGGAGAAGTGTGTTTTCTGATGAATACAAGTTATGTTTAAACTATCATTCAATTTAACCAAAAATCATTCTTGTGTATTCATATACGAGGTTCCTTGAACTAAAAACTCATATTGTGACTAATTTCATCTCCCTTTTTTTAGGCTTCTCCCAGATTCTGATTTACCTTAACTTATATTGTTTATTTTAGGTTATCCAGGTCATTCCAGAGCTAAAGTTCCAGAGTTGTCCAAGTTTGGACGCCCAGTAAGCTGATATCGCATATTGGATTTCATTCTGTCAGATGTCTAATTTTAGCACTTAAACATGAAATGTCCGAAATGTATATTCAAGATATAACGAACATTGAAACACTTGGATAAGCCTACAGTAATGAAATAAGTAGTTTGCCAAGAACATATACTAGGAAGTATGCCCATATATGATCATTCTCCACAGAATTTTCTTATGCATATTATAAATTTTTAAGAAACTAAAGTTGATGTTTGTAAATATAAATCCAGAAGCAGAAATATGGTAAATCCAACACTTGGACACCTAGTTGATTATCAAATCCTATGAGTTGTAGACATAACTTGTTTATGTGATATAACAAAATCTATTAAGATTACGAAGATTAAGTACGGTCGAATGATTTTAATAAAAGGCACAATAAAGCAAATTTCTTAAGATGTCAATCAATCCTCATCAGGTTATGAATCTGGTAGGTGTTTCTAAATGACCATATGACTGCTTCGTATGTCCAGGCGAAAATGAGGAGCTCGTCTTGGTGGGGAAAGTTTTTCGTCCAGACAGGCTTAGTTGAGAATGAAGCTGCCACAAAAAAGTTTGAGCAATCTGCAACCAAGAGTTCATACACTCCTAGGTGCCAAATTTTCCACCTCAAATCATATGACTAATGTTGTTGGATTCGAACATATAATCTCTTAGCTACAGAATGATTTTGTTTTTTCTTACGAAGAAGAGATGTTCAGATTCAGCACATTTTTTGTTTGTATTAATTTACCAAAATGTAAGGGGAGCCAACTCTAATCCTTTCGCATTTGCACTCAATGATTAATACGAAATTTTCCATCCAGGCTTTGTGGCATCAACCGCAATTGATTAACTTTTTAATAATCTTAATGGTCATAACCAACTAGAAAAGTATTTCAGGATTTTTCGTACAATGGGAGGCCATAAATCTGTGATGGAGAAAGTATAAATCTTTTAAATCTATAGGTAGACACAAGTAGTGGAATCTGTGGCAATCTTGAACTGTAATGTCCCTTCCAGTTATACCAGATATCAGTTTAATTGAATTATGATATTCTCATTCTTGACAACTATAGAATCCGTGTCTAGAGTCAATAATGGCCAAAATGTAACTGCCAGCTTCTCACAGTGATGCGGCAATATTGTCTCTTTTTCTTCCATTAATCTATCATATCTAACTGAAACCGTTAAGATGCCAGGAACATATCCTGCATATACTTCATTTTCATTGACATCTTCTGCCAAAACTCTGTATCATCTTGTCAATTTCTATCCAACTGTAACCTGGTCTCCTCTTCATTCTCTTATCTCTCACTAGCTTTTTAACTGTTGCCACTTCGTAGTATATCTGGGCACTAGCTTACGGCAGGTTTGAGCTGAAGACAAATTGTTGGCTGTTTCTCTTCTAGGTCTATGTTACCATGAGTGCTAGAGGCCATAACCAACGAACCAAAACAATGATGCTGTCACAGGGCTGTCTCGCGTTCCCTACTATGACATCGAGATTTTCCGTCCCCAACCAACCAATACACATTTTGTACAAGTGCAGAAATGAAAACTCTTGAAAATTGACTAAGTATGCATAAGATTTAAAAAACTTAGACGACACAGAAATTACGGAACCATCCCAACTTTATTTTCCACTAAAACAAAGAAAAATGTACAAAGGAAATAGAAGGGCCAACACAACACTTTGTTGCCTCATTCATCACTTTACAATCTGCCTTCCTCCATGAAACTAAGTACTCAACACTTGAATTTATAGAGAAACATTCATTCCCGGATTGCAGTTGACAACCCCCAACTGCTTGGTTAGTTTTTCACATTTTCAGTCCACTTGACTGAAAACTGCCTTCCCACTGAAACACATGCAAAACTGCGTGTAACCACCAGTCACATGGGTGTTTTGCCATTGAATTTGTATACTGAAGTCAGCTTGACGGTAAGGTCTCAATTTTGTCGGACACTTGCCCACATCAACCCATCGATCAATGTCAAATCCAACTTGCATTACTAAATTCCGTCTTGCAATGCTGCCATCAAGTAAATTAGCATTGTCATGCCTAGATTACTGTTGCATCTCGAAACCAACCCGAATTAATTCCTTCCCAAATGTGTGCATTGTCCCGACTATCAAATATACTGAATAATATTCAATAAGACTCAATACCACTCAATGTGAGAGATTCTCTCATTATATAGAACCAAGTTAAAATTAAATATGATGACTATGAATTACAATATTTATTAATGTTAGCCTATTAAATATAAACATTGATGCTTTATATTCTTTCTTTATATTTTAGTGACATCTCCCATCAAATTGATACTGGTAAAAGTATCAATTTACAATCATGAACTGGTGACAGTGACAATACTTGTGCCAACTAAGAAGAAATCCAAATCAGAGCAATCGTCTATCAAAATTAGTAACAACAGAGACCAAGAAGAACAAATAGTGCAGGAACAATCAAGAACTATTCCAAAGCCACTCCAAAGACACATTCTAAAGAGCTCACACCTCAAAAAGAATTTTCAAAAGAAATTCACGACATACATAGTGAGCTCTATTTGTCGGGAGAACTCAGTCGAATTCATAATTCGTGTTCCGACAAAAGCTCTAACAGTCAATGCACTGGCCAAAAATTTAGTAATATATTGCTGACTAAGATGTTGTAGTTAAAAGAAATTCTACCAAACAAGCTACACCAAAAACTAAAAGATAATCCTCCTCCAAGAATTCAAAAATCTTAACTCATCATCCGAGCAACCAAAACTCAACGGTTCGCACTTCCATGTAATTTTTTAGTAGTAAGATCAAATTATAGTTGCAAAATCACTCGTAAAAAAAATACTCAAATTTGTTTCTGCAAAATTTTAGCGAAGAAATTTCAGCCCACAATAAAATCAAACAACCAATTAACCACAAAATCAGTTAGCCCAAATATCCGCAATCCAACTAAAATTGAAAGCTTACTAAACAAAGCCCAAACCCAGCCAAAATCTAACCCAATAGCCATACCTCAACTCTGAGAATATATCCATACATAGCCCATTTAAATACTATTTATCCAATACCCATAACAAAAATCCAATCACAGACCCATTATCACAAAATACCCAATTAGCCCAAACCCTATTTATTTCCAAGCCTCCAGAATCGTCACTACATGTTTCAAAATGAAAGGTCGAAGCTTGTTATAACTGAGGTTTCTGGCCGTATTATTAATTTTTTTTTCTTTTTTATGATGGGGGAATCCACGACCGGTACTCTTCGAACGCGCACTAGGTAAATCCTAGGGTTAATGCAATAGCATGCAAACCACGCTAACCAGGTAAACCGCATTAGACAAGTCCGATGCAATATGTTTGACCCAGAAAGTGTTGGTAGGAGAAATCGAACTCATGACCAAAAACTTTCGCGCTCATTTATTTTATCAACTTGACCACCCCATGAGATCATTTGCCGTGGCAATCCAGAATTTGAAGCATTCAAATCTATCGTCACAGGTCTATTACCATTATAGTCTGATGAAATATCTCGAGCATCCTCATAGTGAATAGACTTGGAACTGAAGGCATTGAACATCTGATGAGGATAAAAATTAACAGGGTAAGTGTTGCAACTGTTTTGACCTTCCATCAAGTTTGATTTTGAATACTGTGCAGGCTAATATGAAATCCAAAAAAAAGTACATAGACTTCTCTGCAAGATTGAACTTCATATCGAATTCTCCCGTAAAGAGTGAAGGCTTTAAAAAAAAAAAAATGCTCTAATACATGGATGTGAGGGTCTGAAGAAGCAAAACATAAAATAAGAAAATTTGATCAGATAAGTGATACTAGGCCTCTCATCAAAAAACAGAAACTTGCAAATTTAAGCCAAATAAAATTAAACCCGCTCTAATGCCATGTCAAATATACTGAATAATACTCAGTAGGACTCCATACCACTCAATATGAGAGGTTCTCTCATCATAAAGAACCAAATCAAAGCTCAATATGTTACTATTAATTAAAACACTCATTAATGTTAATCTGCTTAATACAAAGATTGATGCTTTATATTCTTTCCTTATTTTCGGCCACGACAAGGTATGGTCAAGACATCACCCATGTCATGGCAATTTTCACGATCAAGGTCCTCACGCCAGGATTACATGGTATAGACTAGATAAGCGTATCTGCTTCCCTGAATTTAATTTCCCTGCTCAACACGAAAGATCAACCATGCACCAAGTTTTCTGCAGTCAGCCAGTGCCATATGCATGTGAATTTTCCAATTGGGTCGTCCTCCATTTCCACATCAACGCCAACATCATCAGGGCCTTCAAACAGCCTGTTTTGGGCTGCCAAATCCACGTATCAAACCAAACCCATAACCTGAAGGTTGACAATATTCAGAAGAGAGAGTGTGATCTACATTTATATGACCATCTAATTCATGCCAAAAAAAAAAATAAATAAATAAATGTTAATACTTGATCACTGAAATTAAAACTTAAATAACATGGTTTCAGATAATTTTCTCCGCTCAAAATGCAATGTACTTGTATTGACTTTTCGCCCAAAGTCCACTATTAATTTTCTATCAACAAGGTGGCAATATTTACACTCTCATAACAACAATATGGCCACCAAGAAGTGCCTGGTTTGGCGATTTCACAATTTCAGGAGGCACTTGAACATGGTTGGTGGGGGCAACCGATCATTGCAATGGCTTTTCAGGTTATAATTTGAAACGATGTAATTAAGCAGAATTTAGGTGGCAATTGGCAGCTAGCTACAACATGTAGCCCAATTTGATGTATTTAACACAGCCACTATCGCCTCCCCTCTCCTGGGGCACAAATTTTCTTTCTTTGTCAAACATTAGTCATGTAATAATCTAAACGAACGAGAGTTAGTACCACCTCTTGTATAGATATTGTTTTGTAATTTGGTGATGAGAATGTTGATTTATTTATTTATTTTATTTTATTTTTTTGGAGCAATTTGACAATTTGTTCGTGCTAAAATAATGTATGTATCAAGGCAGATAGCCAACGAAAAAATCATACAATTTTGGAAATGGTTCCAGAAATGCAGATACTGGGCAATTATTAATGTTCATTTTCTTTGGTACAAATAATTTATTTTCCAAGATGAGAAATCGTGTTATACTTGAATATTGGTGGCAGGATGACCACAATTATTTGAACAATTGGCCAATTTGTTTTGGAAATGTGATCAATGTTGCTACAGCCAATTCATGGGACCAATCTAGAGACGTTGATCATATGGGACTTCTTCGTTTCTCTTTGAAATAAACTATACATTGCTTGTTCATAAACTAATACGAGCTATGCATTAAAATTTATTTTGATTTCGCTTTTAAGTTACAATGAAAAATAATCAATTAATTACCACTGAATAATAATAAAATAACATATACGAATCCAGATATATTTAGATTTTATATATGTTACTTTCGGGTACTACGCGCCACAAATGAGACAATTAACACTTGACAATCTATTAGCCCCCCTGTTTGACAACCATTTAAAACAAAGTTCTTTTTCTCAAATTTATTTTCAACCATATATTTCCTCAATAAAATATTTTCTACATAAATCCAAATTCTTTTCATATTTTTTAAACCCATATTCTCCCAAAAAAAATCAGTATTCCAAAATCTCATTTCTCCAAAAAAAATAAATAAATAAAAATAAAAAATCCTCATTTTAATGGTCGTCAAACACGAGCTTACTAATCTCTCAGAAGGTCAGCTATACATTATTGTGTTTACTTAATTAGCTCTTTAAAGCCTTGAAATTCCAAGCT